CGAGCCAAAATTAATTCATAATGAGGAGCCAGGAATTCTTTGGGTTGTTGCATGCCCGTACTCTTGCGGAATGGCGTTGCCCTGATGGGCCATTTGACAACATGCGATATTTAATTGGGTTTTAATATACATTACATACACACCAACACACACACACACACAGACGAGGGGACACATTTGAAATATAAAACTAAAACCTAATGTAATCCAGCCATGAAGGCGATACGATAAGCGGTACCCAAACCCAGGGACTGGTCGCAGTAAATTCACGTAAAATGGATCAGATTCTTACGTGGGAGTTGACCTGGTCGGGGCACAAAGAGCAGTGAATTAACTACTATATATATATATATATATATAAATATATATATATATGTATGTACTTTTAGCTTGCTGCTAATGCTATTAGGAAGAGCTCAAAGGAGCGTGCAATTTAATATTAAATGTAATTTACCTGCAAAACAAGTTTTTGTATAACAAGAGGGAGTCCCTTTTGGGGAGAGTTTCTTTTCTGTTGAAAATAAAAATAGAGTGCAACGGAATTTTCATTAATTTTTCTCATTTACACCGTTCCACATTAGCATTAAACTAGCCTCAAGGGTCTGGACATTATTGTCCAGTCATGGAGTCCGTGGCCACAGAAATGCACCGCACAAAGTGAACAGAATGACCAGAATGAACATAATGAACAAAGGAATGACATTCAATGGCCTGTAGTCGATGCGAATCGATGTTTCACCATTGATTGCTCAATCGCCCATTTCATTTGAGTTTAATTTTCGTTCCGGGCTTCCATTGAAATTCAATTCCCATTCAGATGGGAATAATACATTTGTCACACTGATAGACAAAGGTAGAGAGCGTTTTATAATCCATTGGTATGAACCAACTACCGCGGATTTTTCTGTGATTTATATTTAATTTAACTTTGTTTGCTAATTATGATAAAAGCTAGTAAAACTTTTGAATTTATTTAAATCAGATAATATAAATATGCTTTGGATCAGCGAGTTCCCAAAGACCGGAAAAGTTTGCACGTCATTTATTTTCATTAATTTTTGCCGATGAGTTTTTTGTCGTGAAATCAGTTATTAATGTATCAGAATGAGAGAATGTAACAGCATGGGGAAAAAATGTATTTAATTTAGGTGTAATCACATCATTTGGAGGATTGTTGCCAGAGTCTCGTTCAAATTTCAGGGAGATTGCGTTCAACGGGAAAAGGAAGGTTGAAATCAATTCAATTATCAATTGGTTTATCTGATTGAACTCAGTTTACCCCTGGATAGCAAAAGAGTACCTACTTATCGTCAAGTTCAAGAAGCTTCACAGGAATTATTAGTGCCACTAATTGAAAGCAATTCAAGTACTTATAAAAAAGAAAAGAAAGAAAGAAAAGCGTTGCCATATCTAAAGTATTAAATCAATTAATCCAGGGCAAAGCGATTTAATCAGTTGAACAGATGTGAATGGACTGAAGGAACTTTCAGTTGATGGAATCATTGATTTTTATCCCAAGACTGGATTAGGTTTGGAGCCAGCGACGCCGATGATTGTGTGGATTCAATTTGGTGGTTCTTGGCCCGAATTGAATGACAGCAGATTCCATTAGTTTGGCTGAATCTGGGGGCCCATTAAGGACCAAACCAACATTGTCGCCATTCTGTGTGGGTGGCAGCTGCCGGGCTTGGCTAGGACCAATTGTTTGGGTTATCCGTCTTCGTCTTCGTCTTTGGGCTTTGTTAGGGTCTGCCTCTGTCGAAGTGTGCTTGTGAGTGCCAAAATGCCAAGCAATTTGTTCCATGCATATAAATCTTAAGAAATAATTGCAGCAATGGCACGCATACACAGCCAGAGGGCAGAGTGTTTGGGAGTGATTATGGGGGCATAGATTCTGGCCTTGATTGGTTGAGAGTCGCTTAAAATATGCGAACTAAACTGTATTTTGGCTTGGCTCTTTAGATTCTGCACTAAGATTCGCCATCGCTTTGCCATCAGCAATCAATAAAATTTAGCATGCACTTGTATCTGTATCTGGCAGATACGTATACTATAGCATACGACTGGCTCTTGGCCAAAGTGCGTTCGTTTTGGCCGCGTCTCTCTAAAGCTCACTTGGGCTCGCTTTGTTTGCCCCCGCTCTTGCAGCCTTCGCCATTGTTTGCCCATGCCCAGCGAAATGTTGCTATTGTAAATACTCACACAGATTCATATGCACATATATACAAGTACATTTATATGTATAGATATGTGTAGATATATATAGACACGTGTGCATAGCCACATGTGTGTGTCCTTGTTTGTTTGCCATTGTTTGCTGAATTTATAGCACGAACATCTGAATTGGCTCTTTGCGACTGTTTGTAGTTTTATTTTTATACCCATAAAAACCGTACGCGCCTCGACCTGCTCTCGAAGCCTCACTCAGACGCGCCTGTTGTCCTTGAGGCTTATGCTAAAACAATGGCTACTCCTGCACACAAGTATTTATTGGGCCAACTCTCATACCAAGTTGATGGGATCACACAACATGCAGGATATGGCGGAGGTCCCTTCCAGGCAGGTGCCTGCTTTATGATTTATGCTTGTGTCATGTTAATTAGCACGATCTTTGGCTGATTTGGGCTCGTGTCTGTACGCCTCTGTGTGCTGCGCATACGACACGTTGTCGCATGTGAAAATATTCCCAAAAAAAAAACACAAAGCACAACCTGAACAGCCGCCGGGCAGACAAACATGACACATTTACACAGTGAACACTAGCATAGGGGGAACACACTACTCAAATATCAAGCGGGGAAAGAGGACTTTAAAATATATGGTTTTGTTTTCGATTGCTACGCTATGCCTAAAAACAGTTTGAAAGTGAAAGAGGCTTATAGCTTATTGCCTCATTCGTGGAATTATATTTCTCTTAGTGTGCTTCATTTAGGGGCAATAGTTTATCATAGCTCCTTCTACAGGCTCTCAGCTAGAATTTTAAAAAGAGGGACTGTAGTTCCTCCCAAGACTTCTCCGCAAGTTTCCCTCTTTCTCAATGCTTACAGCGAACGAAACATAATTAAAACGAAACAAAGTGGAAAAAAAAACAAACAAAAGAGCAGAACAAAGAACAATGAAATCCCCTGGAATTAACTATCAGGGACTGTTCCTAATTGATTTCATTACGCTCGTAATTAGTTAAGAAATTGAACTTGTTGTTGGGACAGAGGATAAGGACGAAATTGCATCGTTTCGAGCGAACTTTCACTGTACCCACATAGTCCTGTCAACATCCGTTGCTGAAGCAGATATGTATTATGGCTGTAATTTCCTTGTTTCGTGGCTGGCTTTCATGTGTCAGGCATTTGTCCCATCAACATCACCAGCCCCATTCTCTGGTGCTGCCATCCTGCCATCCGAGAGCTGGGGCCACGTCGTGTGGAAGACTCGTATATTGCGTATACGCCCCGTAATGAATACTCTTCAACCAATTGACAACGCATGAATTTATGAAAAACGAAAAACAATTCCTCCGGATGGGTAGAGTGCTCTTGCTGGGGCAAGGATGTGGAACGGCAGTGGGGTATAAATATGCAACATGTTTCCTGTACATCATTCCCGCTTCAGTGCGCTGGTGCGTGCCTCGTGGGTTTACGAGTTTCCTCTGCTCGTGGCATATAGTCATAACCGAAACTGAAACCGAAACCGAAACCATATCGTAAACAGGGCAGGCCCAGCTTATCCCAAAGCATACCCGTGTTTGTGGCACAAATTTTCTTATAGGCAATGCGGCATAAATTACAACCGAATGCGAATGCGGATGCGGATTTTCACTGTGTGACTGTAAAATTCTGGCAACGTCTCTGGGGCGCCCCAAAAGGGCATTCATTCTCAAATCAGCACCAAAGCTGGCTCATTTGGCTTATAACCAAGGCCGCCTCAAGCGCTGGAATTGCCACTGTCAAGAGCAGCCTGCATATAAATAATTGTGGATACGTACATATATCCCTTGTTTTTTTTTGGCAAGATCTTTATAAATAGAAGTGTGGACACATGGGAGTTTAATTGCATGCAAAACAATCAAAAGAGAGCCTGGAATTAGGTGCATGATGATTATAAATGACCCAAGCAAGAGTTTGCGGGTGTCAGGCCTCAAAATATGGCAAATGTGCATGTTTTAGCCAGATATACAATCGTACATATGCCTAAATATGTATGTATGTCTGGAGCACATAACACACACTTTAGCCAATTTACTCTCATGTGGCATGCAGCAATGCTACCCCATTCATTGTTTATAATCGCTGGGCAAACAAGAGGCACTACACAAAAGAGGATGAGGTGCCACAACATGCGTTGCATGTTCAAGTCCATGATTTATTCATCAGCTTCCCTCCGACTGCTCCACTAAAATGGTGTCCATGGCAGCCGTCGCACACAAATCACTCCCACACCATGGCTGTAGTAGTACCAATTAAATCAAATTATTGAAATGAGTTTTAATTAAATGCTTTTCATTCTGCCCGAACAATGGGTTCAGCTATATATAGCTACATATAGCTGTATCCTTGTTTTGATGGGTGGACGCGCCTAATCCAATTAGCTGTCATAGACACACAAATTTGCCGTCAGTCAATTTAGTTTCCAGTGCCAAAAAGCCAGCCACAAACTCTGACAGTTTTTGCCCTGACCCTCACCCATAGCCATACCCATACCCAGACAGCCGCACACACACCGAAACACACATCCGGATCCGGGACAACTATCCGGGGAATGGGCGGCGCCACCTGTGTGTCAATTCTGGTTTCCGTTACAGACTTTTGGTGGCACTTTCGGAAATTGTTTCAACAACGGTTTGTAATTTCACACGCCGCAAAGTGATTAGCTCTGCTTTGTGGCCCCACCTCCAAAGCCCATCCCACCCGATCCCCCTTGCAGCATTGATTGAATCCCCAAACCAAAAACCGAACTAACCCCAAAAACATTTTCTTCTTCTCTCTCTCCTCTCTCTTTGGCAGTGACAGACTTTGATGTGAAACGGAAACGAGGCGGGCGGCGATAGATAGTGAGAGACAGAAAGCGACGCCATAGGGCCAACAGGCAAAAGAAGGGGAAAATAGTGTGCAAATTGATATTGTCGAGCAGCATGGATGAGGAGCACGACGACGATCAAATAATATGAGATTAGATGGGGCTTTAGAGCCCCGGCACCGGCACCGTCACGGTCACGGAGCTGCCATCCTCAAGGGCCGCTTCCATGGTGTTGCCCCATTGAGGCGCGAGACGCGTGAAAAATGTGAGACAAAGCAAAACCAACAAGCTGACGAAGACGACGATGCAGCCACAGATGCTGAGTGCCTGACCAGCAGCAACAACAGCAAAAGGAACACAATCAGCAGCAGCAACAACTGCCACTGGCCGCTGCCCCCAAGTAAGACAGCAAACAAAGCAAACTTGGACTTCAACGTTGAGGGCATCTCCACGCCAAGAGCAACAGCCCCAAGAGCTGCAGCCCAGGCCATTTCTTTGTGCGACGGAAACGTGAAACGCTGCTCCATTGTCGCCACCCTAAAAAAGCGTGCCCAGCCATCGTTAATGCTAATGGCCGCCACTGTGGGGCCAAAGAACCCCATTCCGAACCCGAAGAAGAGCATTAGCATGGGCAGGAGCGGGAACAGGAGCAGGCGCCAAGGAGGCATTGGCCTGGCCGTGGAGCGAGGTTGGGCCAGGGAATGGGATCTGGGCATGAGCCGGAACTGGAGCTGGCTTTGGGGCTGTGGATGGGGATGGGGCTGGGGCTGGGGCGCTCCCCTCAACACTTTTGTCCTGTGCCTGATTTCCGTTATTGCCCTGCTGCCGGCATTAACGCTGGGCGATGACGGTGATAATTTCTTTGCCGTGAATGCCTTCAGCGCGGGACCGGAGACGACAACCCCAGAGTTTGGTAAGTAACGAAACACCTCCCTCCGTATCCGTATCTGGCAGATAAGAATGCTGCAGCAGTTAGTGCGGGAATATACTATATTCACCCCCCGGCATAGGCTTGGCATTCCATATATGTATGCAGACCGCACTGACGTCATCGAGGTGTCGTGTATGAAGCGGTCGCCTCGGCCATCTTTTGTTCATTTAGCTGGAGGGGTTTCCATTGCAATTGCATAAGCCTGTATTTTTTGCTCCTCAAACACAGGACCGTATCTTGATATAAGAAAAAAACGGGTTAGATATAAATAGAAAGCAAATTCTAGAGCTTCAGAGTGAACAGTTTTGCTTTGGGTTTAGCTAATTCTAGAAGAGCGCATCTTTTTCTATAGGAAATCCACTCCTTGGTTTTCCTTGAACCACTTTTCAGGGTTCATTATAATCGTACTAACGTAACACACAAGTAGTTTTCTCCTTCACATATTAAATGTCTCGTCTGCCTTGTGTTCTGGCCTAAATGTGCAAAAGTTGTTCATGGACTCTTTCGGGGTGAGCTTATAAGCCAAGTTCTCTTTAATGGTGCCGTCCAGTTCTGTTAATTATAAATGTGGCTCCTAATGCAGCTCTGGCTGTTTAATGTCAGGCCATCAACCCGTCTGACATGTGCAATTTGTACTCAGATGTTTGGCCTCAGTCTTGGGCGAGTCTTTTGAAGAGATGCTGGCCCTTGTTGAAAAATTATCTGGCCCGGCGAGCTGTGAATAGGATCTGGCAATTGGGTAATCTCTTTTCGGTAAAGCTATCAAAGGTTGGCCTCGGGTCAGGGCCACGGACTCGCACCCGTACCCGCACCCGCACCCGTACCCTCACTCGGGCCGTTACCCGCATCCAACCTGGAGGCCTGCCGGCGGTCGCCACTTTGTCAACACTTTGAGAGAATTTCCTCGTTGGTGCAGTGCCACGGAAACCAAATAAAGCTCAGCTGCAAAAAATTGTGAGCAAAGCTGTGTGGCGTGATGCTACGGCATGAGGGGTTTCCATTTCTCTTTTGTAAGCTGTATGAGAAGGGTATGCAAGGGTCGATTGATGCCAAGCGTTAAATGTAGAATCCAATAAGGAATATCTAAAATGCAAATGATTTAAATATTTATGCCCGTAAATAAGTAAAAGTCTTCGAGCTGTGTCGAATAATTTAAATGTGCTGTTTCAATTTATTTAGTCAACTTATAAATTCTTAAACAAGCTTAAGCGATGCCCTAAATTAATAACTTGAGATTTAATTATGTGTACTTGCTACTTAAAGTTATTCATTAAATTTTGTTTGGTTCTGGAAAGGAAAAAGGAAAGCCACGACAATTCTTAATTACAGCTAAATGCAATTAAATAAATTAAGACAATAGAGGCTAGTTGTTTCAATGAGGCAACCCTTAGTCGAGCAGTCCTGTTTTCTCATTATTCGCAATAGCATTCATTTTTTAGCATTTTGCTAAAACTAAAGCTGCTATTCATAGTCAGAAGGCGGTGCATTTAAAAATAAACCGCAAGCAAATAGACTCACACACACACACACATACACTGGAACACACACACACATTATGACACAAACATGCGCCAGGGGGAGACGGGCGAGTGAGCAAGCATCTAGAAAATGGCGCACCCCGTTTGTGCATGAGCAGCCATTTTGTTTTGTCTTTTCGCTTCCGCTGGCTTAAATGTCGAGCGAGGGCGCATCCGTTCCACAGCCCGCTATTTTGCCGGTCCCACTGTCGATCCCGCTCCCTGTTATGGTGTCGGTCTTGGTCTTGGTCCCGGTCTCGGTCTCGGTCTCGGTCTGTCGGTAATTATGGCAGGAGTATCAACAGAATTAGTAAGGCAACGGCTGGCATAAACGCGGCACATACGAGTGGGGGGTTAACTTAACCCTTGACTGGGGCTGAGATTTTGCACACATTGGCGGTGGCAATCCCCCAGCCAGAGTCGCTCCCAAGAGCTTAATTAAGATGTGAAGGGCCACAAACTTGACTCGCTGCCAGCCCGAGCATAGGTGAGTGTGTCTGTGTCTGTGGCAGGCCATGTTTTCATTCCATTCAACGTTAATGAAGGATTCGCCAGTGCCTTCTGGCATGTGTACATATGTACATGTATGTATGTCCTCGTACTCTCTTATATGGTTGAAGTGCAGCAAAGACCAAGACACGACCCAGTCCGTAGGCACTCTTAAGACCTCTCTCGGGAAATGGAGAGACACGGGCAAACACCTCTCAAAAGCTGGCTCCGAGCTGCGCTGCGGCTAAAGAATTTACATTTTAATCTGGCTGTAAGTCGCTGGGGATTCTGAATACATTTCACAAAGTTTCCCTCCACTCGTTCACGTATTTTTTATTGATATGCACAGCGGCAAATCGAAAGTTTGTTTCGGTTTCATTACAGATTTCCCACATGGGGATTAGTCAAAAACAGACACGAATAACCCACAGCTTTGCGTCTCTCCCTATAGATTATGCCAGCCGCGGACAGAAGAAGTTTGGGGACAAGTGCGATAACACCTTGGAGTGCGGTTTCCCCGGCTCGATATGCGATCCCAAGAAGAAGTCCTGCCAGTGTACCGAGGATCTGGCCGTCACCAATCACTTTGATAAATGTGGCAAAGGTAAGTTAAGGTGTGGGGAGGGGGATTGGGACTGTATGGCTGTCCGCCCATGCTTTTCCGGCTTTTCCTGCCTTTCCTGCTGTCATTCTGCCAAGTTTTCATTAAAAAAGAGTGAAGAGAAATTGCACTGCCAGCAAAATGAAATCCCCCAAGGCGTTGTCTTGATTGTGGGGCGCAGCCACAAATTCTGTAAATTAAAATAGAAAACTTGGCAGCAGCAGCAGCAGCAGCAGGTAGCAATATGGGAGATAGTAGCAAAAGTGCAACTAATGCATGTTTGATATAATTATAATAGTTATTCCCCCGACCCGACATCTGTTCAATACTGTAAATTAAAATCAAATTGAGGCACATTCCCCCATTCCTGGCGCACAAAATTCAACTTTGATGAGCATATTTATGGCTGGTGCTTAATGAATCCCATGACGGACTGCTGTCAAGCCGCACAGGCTATTTTTCATGGGTGTTACCCAGCCGTTTTCCTGATTTCCATCTCCTCAGCAACTAATCCCCGTACAACCCGAGCATTGTCTGCGGGTCTCAGAGTCTCGCCCCTTACTGTGGTGCCTCCTCCATGATAATATTTGTCATCGGAGTGGACAAGCCACACAGCAGAGTCAATCCTCCCCAGCCATATCGCACTTCAATCAGCCATTAAATCAATCCACAAACAGTCGCGACAGCCCAGAAATATATTCTGTGATATGGGTAGCATTTGTTGTTGACCGTATGAATCATGGTGTCAGCCCGCCCGATGCGGATGCGGATGCCGATGCCGATGACCACTCATCCGATGCCCATATGTTGCTTCCCTTTCCCTTTTGCAGAGGCCGCCATCAACGAGTCCTGCTTCTTCAACGAGCAGTGCGAGCAGAAGTACTTTCAGACGGAGTGCCGCGATGGACGATGCGCTTGCCGCTTTGAGATGTCACCCGTTTGGGGCAAGGATGGCACTGTGGAGTGTGCAGGTCGGTGCTCAGCTGGTCAGCCGACAAGTATCCATGCTAATGGGGATATGTGTTTGCTTGCAGGGCGCCAGGACAAGCGGGGAACCGAGACCTACATCGATCCGGCCATGATTGGCGTGCTGGTAGGAATGGCATTGATGTTTGTTATTATTTGTGTCGTCCTGCGATTGTTTAGCCAGTGAGTAAATTGCAATGCAAACATCTCCACCGCCCCACACCGAAAACCAACACCATTTTCAGTACTTGAGCTTGATCCATTTTGCCAGCCCATATGCTTGCCCGTGTAGAGCGGCCCTGAATTGGGTCAATTGGGGGGGCTTCGATTGGGCTTCATTAATTCGCTTGATGCTGTTGCTTTTGCTGTTGCTTTTGCTGTTGCTTTTGCTGTTGCCGATGCCGATGTCTATGGCGATGCGGTTGGCTAGCGATACATAATTTGAGCACCAATTAATTTCCAGTCTAATAAACTGAATTATTTCATTAATTACGAGCATAACCAAGGCAAGGGCAAAGGGCAAATGGCAACAGCATCCTCATTAGCCACAAACCACCTCCCAGCTTTGGCACCCATCATCCGTCGAGCTTCTCCTGCCCATCCAATAAATGAAACTAATGCCTCCAATCAAAACATTATAGAGCCCGCTGGCATGAGAACCGGACCATCTTCAATACGCCCAATCCGCGCCTGATGAACGTCTCGCTGCTGCGTGACAGCAAGCTGCTCCACGGGCAGGAGCGACGTGGATCCCGTATGTCGGTGCGCGCCCCATCTCGGCAGCCCAGCATGGCCTCGCTGCGTCCGCACTCGCCCAATCCGTCGCTAGGTAAGACAGGTTTGTATCCATTTCCACCACCACCACCGAGGGCACACAAAACCCGTCTTGTCCGGTCTTCTTCCGAGTCTTTCGAGTGTACAATTTTGATTTGAATTACTATTTTTATTTATTTATTTGTTTGTTGTGGATATTTTTGGTTATTTTCTATTGACTGTTTGATTTGTGTCGACAACCTGAAGTACTTTATTTTTACAGCCAAAATAAAAATACTACGAAAAGAAAGAGAAACCCAAAATACAAACTCAATCAATCAGTCAGTCAGTCAATCAATTGATCAGTCAGTCACCCAACAAGAAACAAACAGAATCATAAAACTGAAACGAGATCTCTCTGGGGAATGTATTCCAGAAATCAACTCCCAATTGGGGAAAGTGCAAAAACATGGCAGAAATAATGAGTACGATATGAGATATTAAAATGGAGAAGTCTAGCTAATCATAGGGTTTAGATGACTAAGAATACATTGATGAGCATTTCAATAGGCATTTAGTTTGAAATGTGTGCCGAAGTGAATATTTTTGTTAAGAGCTAAGTAAACCTGAAAGGGAAAGAAAGCTTGGACTTAGAGAAGTTCGTAATTAGTATTGGAATGGAAGGAGGAACTGCTATCTTCCTGGTATGCAAAGTACATAGATACCCTTACAATAATACTTAGATATTAGGAACTAACTGACCTAATAATTTAGTTAAGAAAAGGATACCAAAAGAATAAAATCATCACCTATTTGCTTTCCATTACCTTTATGTTTACATATCAGTTTAGAGTATATTTTAAATTTTAAGTTATAAAAACATTTCTCTTAATGGACATGGACACGTAGCTAGTTCGCTGGGCCGCACTGTACACGAGTTTCTGGCCATATTGGCAACCGTATCCCAACATCAACAACGTTCCGTAATGCTAAACACAAACGAAGCAAGACCAACAAGCTCTTTAGGGGCTCAATCAATTTGACTGACAGTTTAAGAACCGTTTTATTCGACGCCTTTCGCTGCCATTGGGGGGTATGGTTGCTGTTGTTGTTTTGGGTTTCTTGTTGTTCTTGTTGCTGTCACTGCTTCTGGCCATTACCGTGATAATTGTTGTTGTGCTAAGCCCAGCGGACAGTTGTCTGAAATTACCTTTTTTGGGTTATTTTTATTCTTGTTTGAGTTTTGCGCCAAGTCCCCCAAGCCCAGACCACACCAGACCCCGAGATCCCACGAAAAAACACCCCAAAACCGAACCCATCAGCAGGACACAAATGTCGCGTGCCTTTGTGAAAGCGAAATATTAAACGTATCCAAACCGCTCATTCCCTTCACTCCACCGCCCACAACAAACGAACAACAAAAACCACCAAAAACCAAAACTTAAACAACAAAAACGACACCGATACCGATACCGCTACCGCTATGGTGAAACCACCAACGACACAAAAAACAGGACGCATGATCCGCTCGAAGAGCAACACACGCTCCAGTGACTCACGTGTCAGCGATGTGTCCACCTGTTCCCGGTTGCTGGAGCACCCGAGCGCCGCCAACCAGCACAACATAGTCCACAGTCACTTTCTGCCCTATGTGCCAACGACCACGGCGGCCAACGCCTCTGCCACAGCCACAGCCACAGCCATAACAACGTATGCTGCCTCAGCCACGCCTTCACCCACGCCCACAGCCAGTGCATCGCCAGCGATGCAGCCAGTCCACGCCACCATCAGCACCACTTATGTGTCATCGCCGGGTGCGGCACCAGCCTGTGGCCGAACGATTAAGTTTTAGATCACAAATAACAATACGTATCACAAAGCAAAAAGCAAAAAGCAAAAGCATCCATATCAGGGTCCAAGAGGTAGGCAGTCCCAGTCCAATTGTCCAATTGTCCCCATCCAACCGATCCACCCAAAATATAATCCCGTATAATCCCAGACCCACGAAATCTTAAACAGCCTTTGTAGTGTAAAGTTGATGTCTTGCTAGCGACAAAGTTGTATCCAAAGCTGTACTCGTACTCGTACTAGTAGTTGTTGTACTCGTTGTTGTCGTTGTTATCCTTGGTTCGAACTGTTGTTGTAAACCTAGTGTTAAGCTGTAGCTGAGAGTAGCAGTTTGACCTGTATGTAAAACTATTCTACTACTCCTACTCCACTTAGACAAATACAAACCTCTAGCCAAACCAAAACCCCACTTACACAGATACAGTTCCATACAGTTCGAAACACGAGCAGACAAAGATACTCGCACACACACACAGAAGATACAATCGTAGATACTCGTGCCATTCTAAATCTGTCATCAAACGCTTTCTCGCTCTCGCTCTCTCTGTCTCTCTTATTCGAACACTATCTGATTCATTGACGCATCCATTCTGATCTGAGTTTCCGCTTTAGTTCCCCTCCTTTATGGCACGGCTCTTATATGGCATTTGACATATATACATATATATTAATTCAGTTTCCTCAACTGGCTTTCTTCTATATAATTTGATATATTTATTAACATAGAACATGAGTAGTGAGGGGCTTGAACTTTGCAGTGAGTCACACAAGTTCACACAAGTTCGAGTCCTGAATCGACTACATTGCTGTTGTCCCGTGATCCAACGATAACTTCCCTTCAACCGGTTATCTGTAGCCTGTAGATTGGGGCCATGCCCATCCATTGATACTGATGATTGTCCGTTTCCCACACAGGCTCCGACTCGCACGGCAGCGCCAGCAATGCCTCGGGCACTTCAGTGCGCTCCAATCGCAGCAATTCGGTGGCTCCCGGCAAGGTTGCCCATCATGAGCGCCACGGATCCGCCCATCGGCAGCACCATCCCCATGGACACCAGCCGCAGCACCACCACCAGCAGCAGCAGCAGCATCACCAGCAGCCGCAGTCACCGCAGGAGCAGGCGCTGATCACCAACATCACCACCAATCCGGTGGCCGAGAGCGTGACTGTCGAGATCATCGAGCCGGGCCAGAAATAGGAGGAGCAGTAGGAAGAGGAGGAATAGTAAGGCAAGCAATGTAGCATGGTATACCAGACCAGACCAGATTAATGGCAAACTCTCTGACACGAACACTGAACACGAATTCGAATCGTCGATATACGAGTATATATACTATGTACTTAGTCACGATATATGCACGCGATAATAAGGCTGGCTCCCCCCCAAACAGGATACGGGATGGATGGGCGGGGGGGCCAGGCCACACACACATACACACACATGATGCCATTGTTAGACTCTTTTTGACAAAGACAATTTTTGCAATTAGTGGAAAATTTTTTAACCAAACCAATTATATACTTATTATACATATATATATATGTATATATATATTGTACGAAGCATATAACAACTTTTGCTGACACCCTCACACATACACCCAAAAAAAGAAAGAAAATGCTAATGAATTAATTACGATATATGCATATATGTATAGCGAGCAAAGCGTACATTGAACAGATATACGCGACTACACCGTAAACAAAAATATTGAAATATTGAAAAAAAACTTGCATAACAAATTCATACTACTCTTTTTTTCAACCAAAAAAAAAAAACAACAAAGAAAACCAATGAAGAAAACTTTATTAATTTATATAAAATATTGTAATGCAGTTATACTACAGATATCTAAGCTTTGGGTTGAAGGCTTTAAGAAACAAAAAGAAGGAGAAAGACCCACTAGGCATAGAGAAACCGTAGAGAGACGAGACCCTAATGTCAGGCAAGATCTCAGCTCGTAGTGTTCTAGAACCAATCAATCTCAATTGGTGTGACCCCCTTCGCAGTGGGTCATTGCGGAATCATTGCCAAAAACGATGAAATGAATTCGGAATTAACCAAAAGCAATTCGCTGATACAACGCCTTATATATACTCGTAACTATAGTGACAAGCCGACTCAGATCGCGACTGAGCCACGCCTCCAATTGCCGCTCTAGCTCCCACATATGGATGTTAGCCCAAAATGGAAATGCTAGGGGTAGGAAAACCAAGATGAAGAAATATTAAACAACCTCGGGACCATATTTTATAATCAAAATATGCGTTTCATTGCGAAGCACGCACGTTCAGATTTAATTTGTTTTCAAATTTATTTTCTCAAGAAAAAAACAAACATCACATCTCGCTCTAGAGATGAAGATACGGCAAAAGCGTACCTATATTTTGACCAACTTTTTGCTGGCTGAGCAAAAGTTTTAGGGAACACACAAACACACACTCAACACAAGCACACAAAATGATATTAAGGATAATGAACATAGACAAAGATTGCTAGCAGTACGCACACACACACGCATAGAATACATAGAATCTAAATTGACTTCCAGTCGAATAATATTACAGTTTGACTTAAGTTCTAGAGTCTCTCCCTCCCCTGTAAACAATTTGTGCTAAATTTGATTTAACAGCAATTTTCTCCACTCTCCACTCACCGATCGAGATCGAGGCCAGGGGAACCTGGGATTGTGCATTGGGCTAGCCGAGAATAGGGGAAGATTTTCGGGTCTGTCCAATGCGGAGTTCGAAGCGGTGCCCGCTGAAAGATCTTCAAGTTATAGCCATAGTAGATATAGTAGTTTGAGATCGATAAGGTTTAGTTGTTGCCCCCAGACACCATGGAAAAACAGATAACTCTCATTTGCTTTTGTGCTCAATCAAAGAAGCTTAACTGTGAGAATAACAAAACGAATACAAGATACAAATAAATGTAGAGCAAGAAAATAATCTTAAAATGCTTGAAAACTCTAGCTAAACAATTAAATTTAGTGTAACTCTAACGACAAACAACAACAAAAAGAAAACAAAACAAAACCAGAACAATTTTATTAAAGCATCGAATTTTTTCTTAAAAAAAAAAATAAAATAAAAACTTAAAAAAAAATTATAATGAAAGAGCAAACAAACAATCTTATTTCTAGGACAAGAGAACTAGTTACTTATTTACATTCCAAAATGCGTTTAATAAAAACGATTCGATCATTGGAATTTGGGGAAGAATTTCAAGGATTAACTCTGTTTTTGTTATGTTTAGGAACTGCAAAACGTGTAATATCTAAGCACCAGAATTAACAACTAAATATAATAAATGAAATCACTGATTTTTCTATTTACATCAAATACTTACTGTTGAAGGCAGACTTTAAGCGAATTTTAAATAAGCTTAATCGATGAAGAGCGATGGAAGAGAATATTTTAAAACCAATTATATACATACAATACATGAATATGCTTTATTTACTTTAATATATACATTATACACAAACAACAACTACATACAACTAATATATACACTTGTATTAAAGTTTCGTGAAGGAAAAACCAACCAAAACAAACCAAACCCAATGCGATAAATTCATTTACACTCTACCTAAAATCGAAAAAAGGAAAACATAATTTTATATATGTACGTGCAAGAAGCAAGAAAATCTCGTAATGCTAATATTATGTATACATCTAGATTCAAATGCCATTATCGCACATCTAAGAAAGAAATATTAAAATTAAATACAAATATAAATGAAAACGAAAAATGAAAACAAAGAACTAAATCTCTAAGTCTAGAACAGAAGCAAAGCGTACATATTATACGAGTATAGTTAAACATTTCGATTTCTCATGTGACTTGTGACTACCTACCCGAAGAAGAAACAAGATTTAAATCAAAGTAAACTAGCAAAGGATCGTAGTTATAGAGAGCGAATCAAAGCCAGACAGTACGAGTAGCAAAGAAACTATATATATAGCAGATATATGTAGAGAATGCATGAAGATAAACTGCTTTTTTCCAACTTCAAGAAAGGCAAACGGGAGAGTTGAATCAACTAAGTAACGTATTTATTATGAAGTACATATATAAATATATACATACAATATATAAAAAAGATATTTAAAGATCAGTTCACTATAATAAAAACTATATTACCATACCTTACAGAACAAAACAATCGGCACATGTGTACGAGTACATTATTACATATATGTAGTCTATATCTATGATTAGTATAAGCTGCAGTCTTTTAGAGAGTGGTGCCATGATAGCCCTGCTCAGGCACAGGCTCGCAGTCCCGAGTCCTTCTGCCCAGCACCCGCTTGCGGTAGCTCTGCTCGGCCAGGTGGCGCAGATGCTGAGCGGTACCCACTCCGGTCTTCTCCACGAAACGATAGAGATGCCCGTTGCGGCGCTGAAGCAGCTCGTGCGGATGTCCTAGCTCCACCACGCGGCCCACATCCATGACCAGTACGCGATCATTGTCCATCACCGTGTGCAGGCGATGGGCGATGGTCAGCACCGTGCACTGCTCAAACTTGGTTTGTATAGCCTCCTGGATGAGCTTGTCAGTCCTACCAAGAAAGTGGCAATCAATACGTGAATCTATCAATTGAGTTTGGATAACTTACTCGGGATCCACATTGGCCGTGGCCTCGTCCATGATGAGTATTTGATTCTGGCGGAGTATGGCCCGGGCCAGACAGACCAGCTGCCTCTGGCCCATGCTGAAGTTGGCACCGCTATCGTGGAGACGGCAGCTTAGGCCTTCCTTCACACCCGCAAAGAACTGCTTCAGCTTGACGGCTTCCAGCGCCTGCCACAGTTGCTCGTCCGTTTTCTTCTCAAACGGATCGAGATTGTAGCGCAGTGTGCCCGAGAATAGGACAGGATCCTGAGGAATGATGGACATGCGGCTGCGTAGATCGTGGAGTCCCAGATTGGATGTCTCGTAGCCATCGATCTCTATGATGCCGTCGACTGGAGCCAGTCGGAACAGGGCCTGCACAATGGAGGACTTGCCGGCGCCCGTGCGACCCACGATCCCAATCTTCTCCTTTGGGTTGATGGTGAAGCTTAGTCCCTTGAGGACATACGTCCCATGATCGCTGTAGCGCAGGCGCAGATCCTGGAAATGCACCTGACCAGCAGTGGGCCATTTGGCTGGCAGGTTCACCGACTCCGGCGTCTCGTAGGCCGGCTCCGAGGGTATGTTCACATACTCCATCACCCGCTCCACGCTGGTCATCTGGTTCTCCAGCTCCACCGTCTGCCGCATGCCCCACTGGCACATGAGTACCAGCTTCATGGACTGGGTAATGGCCAATCCCACATCGCCGCTGTAGTAGCCGTGCTCCCTTCTATCAAACAGTAGAAAGCTGAAGGTCACCGCCAGGATATACAGCACGCAGATGAGGTCCGTCCAGAAGGCGAAGGCCCGGTTGACGCTCACATGCAGATACAGGGCCGAGGTATTTTCATTCTGTAAGCGATGAAAATCCCGCTCCAGGCGCTTGGTGGCATTGAAGGCACGGATCGTGGTGAGTCCCTTAAAGGTGGCATTCGTGTGGGAGTAAAGGGGACTGCGGGCTATGGAGAACAGAACCAGTTCAGTTTGCCACTTGGGTAAAGGAGAAGGTCTACTTACAGATGGTCTCGATGCGCTTCAGGCTCCGGCTGGCTCCAATGTACAGGCATCGGCAGAGATACAGCAATGCCATCACAATGAAGGCCGGAATGAGCAGCCAAGTGTTGGCCGTGCTTACCACCGCGAGAACGGCCAAGGCATCCACAAAGAACTCAATGGAGTCCATCATCGACTGCGGCAGAGTAACATCAATGGCCAGGACGTCGCTTGAGAAACGGTTAAGTATACGCCCCGATGTTGCCAGCGTGAAGAACTGCATGCTGGCGCGGATTACGCCCTGGAAGAGGTAGTTGTGGATGCGCAACGAGATGCGGAGACACATCATGAAGAAGCCAAAGGTTCGGAGCACATATAAGATCAGCGTGCTCAGGATTAGAACCAGGTAGAGGGTGACTAGGCGCATACGCGTTCTGTGGTACTGCGGGATGGGCTCGTGCTGATTGGGCTCCGTCTCTTCCCAGGTGGCCCTGCAAAATGAATTTAAATTGGTTTATATCCACGCGGAAAGGAGACTGACCCCCCCACTCATGCTCACCATTTGGAGAGAAAGATATCCATGGTGGCCTCTGAGGCGCGGGCTATAATGAAAAGCATAAGAATCAGCACCACCACAGAAGGAACGCCCACGACTCCGAGGTAAGCCTTGTACGTGGACCATTTGACCGATCCCCGTTGCTGCTGCTCCTTGTACTCCTGCTCTTTTTGATCCAGAGCGATTTGCTGCTGCTGCGTGAGGGGTTCCCTGGGCTGCGTCTCCTCGAAAATGCTGTCAGTGCGTGCGGCACGCAGCTTAGTCACCTCGCTGTCATTGGCCACCGACATGCGGAACCGGATGAGCTTCTTCAGATTATCGTACTGGCCCTGAATGGAGGCTCGACCACCCTCCAGTAGCACCAAATGATCGACATGCTTCAGCAGCTGAACACGATGCGTGACCAGGATGCGGATCTTATCGCTGAGAAAGTCGTTGAGGCAGCGATCGAGGAGCATTTTGCTCACATGCGAGTCCACTGCGGAGAGGGGATCGTCCAGCAGATAGATGTCGGCCTTGCGGTACACGGCACGGGCCAGACTTACCCTCGCCTTCTGGCCCCCACTGAGGCTGGCTCCTCCCTCGCCCACAATGGTGGCATCTCCGGCGGGCAGCTCCTCGATGTCCTTGTCCAGAAGACAGACGCGCAGCACTTCGTTGTATCGCTGCTCGTCGAAGGCCTCCATGAAGAGGATATTGTCGCGGAGGCTGCAGCGGTTCAGCCACGGCTCCTGGGCGGCATAGCTGAGGACACCGTTGAGCTCCACATTGCCGCTGAGGATGTCCAGCTCCCCCAGCAGGGCCTGCAGAAGGGTACTCTTGCCGGAGCCCACAGTGCCGACAATACCCACGAACTGCTGCTCCATCGCCTGGAAGCTGATGTCATCGATGTGGCGTTTTCGTTTCTCCTGCTTGGCCTGGTCCCAGCTGGCCGTTAGATTCTGTACGGTGACGCTCTTGTGTATGGCACGAGGATTGTGCATGCGGCCAAAGAAGTTTCCATGCTCCACGTCCTCGTCCACATCCTTGAAATTATCCACCCCGCCGTCGGCGGGATCCTCGTGCTGCAGCAGAAAGTCCACCACGCGTCCGGCAACGACAAAAGTCTCGGCCCAAATGTTGATGGCCAGGGGCCAGAGATGCAGCAGGGACTCGTTGAGGTGGTCGTAGTAGCTGGAAACAATGAAGACCTTCTGCGAGGTGACAATGTCCCCAGTGAAGACGTAGCTAGCCATGGACAGGAAGAGCGACAGCTTCGATATCATTCCGGTGCACTGGAGGGCCGCATAGATGTACATGGATCCCCGTATGGAGCTCAACTCCTTCTTCCTGACCCGGCCGATCAGCTTGGCAAATGACTTCTCCCACGCGTACATCTTGATCAGCTGCATGGCCGTGATGATCTCGTTCATCAGCTTCACCCGCTCATCGCCAAACTCCGCCGATCTCCGCTTGAAGCGGGCCGTCGCCCGCGCAGCCCAAGCCTGCAGTGGAATGAACACGATGATGGTGGCCATTCCCACTAGCGCCGGCCAGCCAATCAGCTGAAAGATGATGTAGCCGAACACCAGCCCCTCCAGCGGTCCGCGCCACAGCTCGTGGAAGAAGTAGAAGGCTTCGTTGAACAGCGGCAGATCGGTTGCCATTAGGGATATGGCATAGCCACTCATGCCGCTGTTGTCCGCAGCCACCGAAACCCTCAGGCACTTCCTGTAGACGAGTCCAGCGCATGCCAGCCGGATGCGGCCACCCACTCTGAACAGATAGTGCATAAAGGGGTGGAAGAAGAGACCCGAGGCCAGGGAGCACAGGACCACGCCCATGGCATACAAGTAGGCCGATTTCTTGGAGATGTCGTCGGTGCTCTCCGAGAAGTAGGATACCAGGCCGCCCAGCAGCAATGGCTGCAAAGTGCTATGAAGAGTAACAAATACGGGATGTTATTAACCCCGAAAGGTGTCCCGAGTGAAAAGTACGTACTGCACAACGATGGCCAGCAGCGAGTAGATTATACTGACGGGCACAAAGCCCCAGCCGTATGCCCGGAAGACCATACGCAAAACACTGGGCTTGGGGCGCTTAAGCTCCTTCTCCCAGTGGCCGAGGAGGAACTGCGATACCTTGGGGCTGTCGAGTTTGGGTACGGGAGCATACAGATCCGACGGCTCCACGCTCTTTCGCATTCCCTTGGCGAGAATCTCGTGTGTCCAGCTGGAAGGGAGAACACACAGGTCAGGTGGGACGGGAGGTTCATGATGGACGGTGACAGGTGTCGCCTGCTTGTCGTGGTTTATTTTTATCGCACTTCAAAACCGAATCCACTCGCGTCATAAATTCGAAATGGTGTCCAAGGCTAGACTGGCCGTAAATCTGAATCGGGCGGCATTTTTTAGCTCTATCTTATCAGCAGGACATCGAGTACAGGGGATGTTTTGAAATTCGTTGAATTTAATTTAATATTTCTCGACTGCGATTTCACCACACACTCGTGTGTACAAGCTGTAGGATTTTTTTCCTTCTACACACTTTCACCAAACGATCAGCAATATTCACATGACTCACATAAAAAACCATTTTGAGAGGAAATTGGCCTTTAGGACCGGATTCGGCTTTCGTTGCTCATGTACCGATTTCATTCTACATATAGTACATGTATGTATGTCCCTATATGTAAAGTACATATATATTGATGTATCTCATGCATTAATATCACATGTGTACTATGCAGATCCTTGACACAATTCACACACAAATTAGAACGGAAAACATTCGCGTGCGGTGCTCGTGCCGCTTTACTCGCCACTGAGTTCCTGCCCGCCCAGACATTCGATTTTTAACCAACCACTGGCCGAGAGAGTGCTAGAGAATCATCGTTATAAATCAATGATCCGCCTGTGGCCCGCCCTATCGGGGAGCACTATTTTATCTTAATGCCCGGTGACAGCCACGCATCAGCGAGGCGGACGCAGCAACCGCTGGCTAACATTTTGGCTAAGTGTGTTTTACTGTTGTTTATGAAACTTTTGACGGAACGACGGGTTTCGGGGCATCCCGATTGGGAGAACAGGTGGTGTGGAGTGGAGAAGGGATTCCTCCAACCCATTGACCACTTGTTCGATTCTTGTATCTTATCTTCATCATTGGCTACCATGTTGACTTATTCTGATTACACATTTCAGCAATTGACAATTTTAATTGGAGCTCCGAAAGGTTCATCCTTATCGATCCCCACTACGTAATGTACCCGAACATAGGCGCATGAATCATTTGGATTTCGTACTAAGAGACCAGTTCACGATCAAAGATATTTCCCCGACCCGATCGGCAAAGTGAACTGATTAAGTGGCTTCATTAACTGTTCGATGTACGTAATTTTCAGGCACTTTATTGAGATTGTACGTATTGATAAGTACGAATTTGTAATACATATACTATATTACATTTGCTACCTATATTTCTGATTTAAAAGTACCTTATTTAACTCATTTCTTTTGTCTTAATTTGATTGAAGTTTGCTTTCGATTAGAGCACGCGGCGAATGCGAATTGCTTTGCATTGGTTTGCCAATTGTAGAACACAGGGTGTACAAAACATACGAGTACATAGCACGGTAAACGGTAGTACAGTACTTACTACTACTAGCAAGTGGAACAGATGCGATACATACATAAATTCGTGGTATTAAATAAGGCTAACACGGCTTAAACTACACATATTTACATACATATCTCCTAAGTACAAGGCAATAAGTAGTTCGGTGACTTTAAGTACATACAAATTTGCTATGTACATAATACTTTCAGTTCCTATGCTATAATCCTTAAGCAGATTTTGTGTGTTGAAGTGATTGCGGAGAGTGCGTGTTTCAGTTACTCAGTCTGCTCTTGCAGAGCCAGTGTGATGTTCAGGTCGTCGTCGGTGGCAGTGTCGTCGCCAAGCAGCCGCTTGCTATAGCTCTGCTCGGCCGATTGCTTTAGGGCAAATGATGTTGCCGCTCCCGTGTTGTCCACAAGTTGGCGTAGATAGCCCCCTGGTCGCTGCAGCAGCTCGTAGGGATGTCCCAGTTCACGGGCCTCGCCCGCATCCATTACCAGCACACGATCGCTGTCCATCACGGTGTGCAATCGATGGGCAATTGTCAGCACCGTACAGTGGGCAAACTTGGACCGGATTGTCTGCTGGATAAGCTTGTCCGTTCTGAAAAGAAATGCATTATAAGAACGTTTTCGCCATCATATTTATATTCCACTTACTCTGGATCAACATTGGCTGTGGCCTCGTCCATGATGAGAATTTTGTTGTGCCTCAAAATGGCTCGCGCCAGACATACCAACTGCCGCTGGCCCACGCTGAAGTTGGAGCCGCCATCGTACATGCGACAGTTGAGTCCACCAATCAATGTGGATACGTAGGAGCGCAGCTCTACATCTCCCAGAGCCTTCCACATTTCCTCATCGGAGCGCTCGTCCTTGGGGTCGAGATTATAGCGCAATGTGCCCGAAAACAGAACTGGATCCTGGGGTATAATCGAAATGCGACTTCGCAGATCATGCAATCCCATGTGCTCGATATCAATGTCGTCGATGCGGATCATGCCCTCGTTGCAGGCCAGACGGAAGATCGACTGTATGATCGATGATTTGCCGGCGCCGGTGCGACCCACAATTCCAATCTTTTCGCGCGATTCGATGGTGAAGTTCAGATTCCTGAGCACAGTTTCCTCCTTTGGCGAGTAGCGCAGCTTAAAGTTGATAAACTCAATGCGTCCCTTGCTGGGCCACTCGGTTTTAGGCTTAAACTTTTCAGCGGTCTCTAGCGGCGGCTCCGATGGCTGCTCTGTGTACTCGATCACTCGCTCCACGCTGGTCATTTGGTTCTCCAACTCGGCTGTCTGTCGCATGCCCCACTGGCACATTCCCGTCATCGTGGTGGAGTGCAAGATCGCCAATCCCACATCTCCGCTGTCAAAGTCATTGCGCAGCAGCAGGAAGCTAAAGGTCACGGCGGTCATGTAGGCGATGCATAGCAGATCCGACCACAGGGCAAAGGCACGTGTGCAGGACAGGAAGAGGAACCAGGCCGATGTGTTGGCGTTTTGGTATTCGTGAAACTCTGACTCTAAGGCGCTCTGTGCCTCCAAAGCGCGTATCGTGGTAAGCCCCTGGAAGGTTTGATTTGTCAACGAAAAGACAGGACTGCGGGCTGAACAGAAGAACAAAAGGATTAATGCCTTCTTTATACTGATTTGTTAGGGATTTTCACTTACATATGGACTCCAGACGCTTTACACTGCGACTTGTATTCACATAGAGATAGCGAATCCCGCCAAGGATCAAAACAAGGAAGAAAGCGGGCACCAGCAGCCAATAGTTGGCAATGGCCACAATAATCAGCACGCCAGAGACATCAATGACGAACGCCAAGCAGTCCAAAAGCGTGTGCGGCAAATCCGTATCCACAGTGCGTATATCCTTGGAGAAGCGATTTAATATGCGCCCCGAAGAGTTCGTGTTGAAGAAGTACATGGTGGCGCGGGTAATGCCGCGGAACAGTCGGTCGTGCAGGTGCAGAGAGATGCGCAGGCACATCTTGAAGAACCCGAATGTGCGTATTAAGTAGACAATCAACGTTGCGCCCAGTATGATGGCGTAGAAGAGGACAAGCTCTTGGCGAATGCTGGCCTCAACGCTGCCATTAAAAGGAGTTGCCGCAGAGTCGGTGATATTGAGTGGCAGTGTATCATTTGTGGGCATCAGATCCGTATCACTTAATAAGGTTGCTGCGGTGACATTGGCTCCAATTTTCTCTTCCCAAATGACCCTGTGGAATGGTTAAATGAGATATGATTTGGTGACTTTGGCTATAGGGACAAAGGCACTTACCATCGCGACAGGAAGTAATCTACACCGGTAAGCATGACTCTGGCGCAGACAAACAGCGTCACAATCAGGCCCAAGCGGAACGTACTCTCCAGTGCCTTCAAGTATGAGGCGTAGACGTGCAGCTTTACGGAGCCCACAGACTGCTGTTCCTGGTTTAGCTCCTCCACTTGCTCATCCGGGCGCAGAAGTGGCCGATTGTGTTGGTGGTGTTCCAAACTCTTCTCCGAGTCGCTGCGGGACACATAGCTGCTAACGCTGTGCGTATCGATGCCGCTCTCGTCATGCGTCTGCTCCAGGAACTGGAACTGACGAGAGCGCTGAAGCTCCTGATAGCTGCCCTGTGCGACAATCTTGCCCGATCCCATCAGCAGCAGGTGCTCCACATCGAACAAGTACTGCACTTGGTGGGTCACCAGAATGCGTATCTTGTTGGAAAGAAAGTCGCGTATGCAGCGATCGAAGATGTGCTTGCCCACGTGAGTGTCCACGGCGGATAGGGGATCATCCAGGAGGTAGATATCCGCCTTGCGGTAGACGGCACGAGCCAGACTTACTCTGGCCTTTTGTCCACCGCTGAGACTAACGCCTCGCTCGCCCACCACTGTCAGATCGCCCCTCGGGAGTAGCTCCATATCACGCTCCAGGCCACAGGCCTTCACAACCTTCTTGTATCTTCGCTCATTGTAGTCCTCCACGAACACAATGTTATCGCGGATGGTCCCCTCAAAGACCCAGGGCTCCTGGGAGGCATATGAGACCTTTCCATGCACCAGAGCTTCGCCCTTGTCGATGCCCACTTCCCCTAGGAGCACGTTTAGGAAGCTCGATTTGCCAGCGCCCACGGGTCCGACAACTGCAGCAAGAGTTTGATCCTGTATCTCCGTACTGAAGTTCTCAATGGCGCAGCTGGGGTGCCCATCGCTAGTGTCCCACGAGGCTGAAACATTCTTCAGGATCACGCATTTCTTTCCCGCGTCCGGATTGTAATCCCTGAGACGGCTGTGCTGCGGCAGACCATTGGACAAAAGCGACCCGTTCAGCTCCACATTTTGTTGGATGTCTGTCTTGGTGAGCGTTCGCTTGGTCTTTGTCTGTTGCTTATTGGCCTCCAGGTTGATGGGCACCTCAGCTCTATCCCCGTCCAGCAGGAATTCCTTGCAGCGTTGTGCCGAAACCAAGGCCTCGGCAATGAAGGTGATGGACAGCGGCCAGAAGTGAACCATCGAGTCATTCAACATGTTGAAGTAGGAGGACACGGTGTACACCTTTTGAGCCGTTAAGGCATCTCCAAAGTAGACATAGGAGCACAGGGCTAAGAACACAGACAGCGGTGATATCATGGAGGTGCATCCAAGCGCCGCATGGATGTAGGCAGTGCCCCGAATGGCTTTCACTTCCTTCAGGCGTACCTCAGCCACCACGCGGGCAAAGCTCTTTTCCCAGGCATACATCTTGATCACCTGTATGCCCTGGATGATCTCGTTCATCAGCTTCACGCGCATATCTGTCCTCTCGGCGGTCATCTGTCGGTAATAGGCGGCTTTCTTGGCTGCCCACGCCTGTAGTGGGATAAAGCTGATCATGAAGGACACGCCTATCACAGCGGACAGACCAATCTCGCGGTACATGAGGAAGCCAATCAGCAGTGATTCCAGTGGGCCCTTCCACGTGTCGTGCAGGAAGCACAATGCCACATCGAAGCGCCCGAGATCATTGGAGAGTATGTTGATGGCTCTGGCGCGCAGGCCATCGTTGCTGCTGCTCTTTGATACCTGCAGACACTTTCGATAGATGAGGCCGGAGAGGGCGAGGCGCAGCTTTGTGCCCACTTGGAAGATGTAGAATATGAAGGGATGGAATGTTATCACAGGTACCAGCATGCAAATCACAATCCCCAGCGCGTACATATAGGCCGTCTCTTCGCTGACCGTGGTTTGGTTCGTGGCAAAGTAGCCCACTAGCCCACCAAGAAACAGGGGCATAAGAGATCTGCAAGAAATGAATGGGAATTGGGAGAATTAGCTAATCCGCCGGAGGCTGATTGCTACCTACTTGCAACACGACTCAGCGACCGAGTACGCCAGACCCAAGGGAATGAAGATCGTTCCATATGCACGCAGTATCATGCGCACCACACTGGGATTGCTCCGCTTCTTCTCGTCCTCCCACAACTCGTTGAACTTGTTGGTCACCCGCTCGCTGTCCAGCGTCTTTCTGTGCTGGTACAGTTCCTCGTCCGTGAGCGGACCCTGCAGGCCACGCTTGAAAAGATCCCGCATCCACCTAACAATGTGCACAGAGATTATAATTTTATTACTGCAACTGAGGCTATCTGGTAATTATGGTTTGATGATGATTTAGTAAAGTTCCCGAAGCCCCTTCATTAATGGCATGTGGTAGTCGCTAAGTGTGGGGGCTTTTCTACGATTGCCGGAGCTAACTTTGGGAAATCTTAGCCGAGGCTCAGCCTCAAAGTTTGTATTTAATGACCTTCCTTGGTAACATAAAAAAATACATCTACTGTTCGGCTACAAAGAGATCCCATATACATACATACATATGTATATATGGTTTTATTAACAAAACAACATGTGCAATATATTTTTACAATGAAGTGGACACTTTCAGGGGGGAACACATTTTCAAAATATCATTTACCCCATGAGGCAGGCGGGTTTACCAAATGCGAGGCTTCTCTGTGGGATCGTTAAAAGTCTTTATTAATGAAATACAATTCAGCTCAATTCAGTTCACGACTGGTCTGGCTGGCTGCTGATAGGCTTGGGGGCTATAGTAAGTAATGGTATTTGTAATGAAAACATTTAAAGTCTCCCTTATCAGCGTTCATAGAAATTTGAATCTTATATACGTAAAGGAGGAAAACTGCAATAAATCGCTGCCACAGCTGCCTCTAATTGGCAAGCGTACAGTGTTCATATATTTTGAGCCAGATAACAATGTAACCTTGGTGTCCAACAATGACATTTAATAAAATTGTCGTTTCCAATGTAATGGATGTTAGTTCTAATTCTCATTAGATTTCGTTGCTGCTGTTCTTCTTATACGTTCTTATCGCAAGCGAAATTATTGAGGGGGGTTAACAATCTGATATATGTACATATGTACATATGTAGCTGTAGCAGAGAAAGTGTCAGGGCTAATCATTAGATAAAGATCCACTGTGGTATTTATGGTATGATGGAGGCGGAAAGATTAGCCTGGGCGGCATATTTGTCACTACAATATGGTACAACACGTGCTAACCACACTGGATGTGGATACGCAAAGGCAGTCACAGTACAGAAAACCTAGTAATTTACCGTAAATAATGTGCACATGACTAATGACGAGGGGCGGCCACGATAGAGCCGCTAGTATGGTTAAAGATAAAAACTTACCAGAATGTCCATTGTGAGAAGCAGTTCGCTTTGGTGTAGGGATTCTTTGGACGGACGACTTTCCTTCTGGTGCGGTTCATAATATGCGTATTTTTGATTTGTGATGTACAGGGCCGCTAACCGTTACGGCTGAGGGAGCGAAAGACCACCAAAAGGGAAATCAAACACCTCTGTCTCTCTCTCTCTCTGTACTATAGGTTGCGATCCGAGTCTACTGTAGTCGAAAATCAATTCTTCTTTGCCGGCAACAACAAAATTCGTATGGGAAAATTGTCTAGGTCGAGGTCAGCAGCAGTTTGTGCCGTTAGTGCAATGACTGTGGGAATTTTACCGTTTGTTGCTTTTGGCAGAGCTGCCAACAACGCACCAACAATGAACGAACTGCGCCCCGATGCGACTTCTCTTTGTATTGAGGAAAAATATCTAAACGACTGACTCAACGAGCAGACACACTAATAATATTAACAATATGTCAACACTTCTAAAGCTATACTAATTAAATATGTAAAGTTAACAACAATTTTACGCGAAAACCGAAAATTTTATACGGGAGAGCGCACAAAGCACCCACGAAGAACAAAAAAAAAATCTGAGAGAGCGCTCTCTGCGCGACCATTTATATATTTTGATATATGCAAGGTCGAGTATTTTTAAGGGAAGGCACAACTCAGCAAGCGGTAAAAACGAACACGTGAAAAAAAGTATCATCGTGTGCAGATTTTATGAATATAAAACAAATATTGTTTTCAAAACATGTTTTTTTACAGTGGTCGGCAGCGGTTGCATCGGGGGCGTCGCTATCTGCTTCTGCTGATAGCCAGACATATTCCTTTGGCAATAAAATATTGGTGAGCCCAGGATATGCCTAGGGAAGAGCGACCCCAGCCGAAGAAGCGCATTTCATTAACTTTCTTTAATGAAAATAAATATATATTTTGAAACTGAGTACTAGATTTTAGGCAAGCGAAAAGCACCCTTCTACTGTTCTACCTTGCGTATGAATGCGCCCAAGAGAGAGAATAAATTACTCAGTATTGTGAAATCGTTTTTTAAATGTTTGAAAAGTTTCTTGCAAGAAAAAAGCTTTTGGAAAAGCTGACTAAAAAAAGATGCCAAGGCGTCAATGTATCAAGAGCAATAAAAACAATAAACAATAAGTAATCTGCAGAGATCTACTTTATCTACCCTTTTTTTTATCATAAATGTGGGATGAAAGAAAAAAGTTTATTTCACCCATTTAAATAACCATTTCCCGGCGGTTTCGGTTAGCAGCAGTGAAGCTTGGATTCTCTGCTGACGTCGACGTCGAAACATTTTTGATATGACTTTTTTCATGAGTGACTGCCAGAACTTCAGGGATATTTTGGAGTGTTACACGTACACAACACATAAATGCTTGCTGTCAGTCGGCTCGTGTCACGTCATGAGCCGAACGCGGTCATTCCCAGAGCCGAACGCGGTCCAAAAATTTAATATCCGCAAACGTATGATGCCGCAATAACCTCTTAACCTACCTGTGCAGCCAGGAGGGCGTACATCTGGGCATCTATGAGGCACTCACTGTGTACGTAAAGCTCCGCGATGAGGAGCTTCCGAGCTTTAGCGCGGAAGATAGACACCAGTGGCGCCGTGCCAGAAATAGCGCCCGTTTTCCGAACTATGAAAGCACATCTTATTTTTAGCCAAGTTTTTAACCCAAAATAACCAAAAAACAACAAAAATTAAGCTCGAAATTCAAATTTGTTGTCGACGGCAGTCAGCTGTTTCACAAAATCAGATATAGGTGTCGTGCATGTAAAAATATTGTTGAGTGGTGTAGTTAAACGTGGCAGAATTAATTCAATTTTCGAATTTTAACGTTTATTTATCGGATAAAATTATATAAAATGTTACTCACCGGTTCCTGAGAAACACAAGAATTTAACATCAAATCAGTTTGTTTTAATTTCAATATTTTGGGATCATATCAATCCAAAATACTGTATTACTGTTTCAGATGTATGATCAATATTTCTGACAGAAACAAAACGAACTTCACACATTATTCATCACTTTTAGAATTTTCCTAAATCCCATATCTACCCAGACTGCCGAATTTGAATTAGATCGGATCAAAATTATAGCCAAAATGAAGAAATTAATTTTCTGTTGCTTGTACAATCTACATGTTAGATGTAGAATATACATTGTAGAAGTAGATGTAGATATCAGATGTAGCCAAAAAAAGGGAATAAGTAAAATTTGTTTTTTTTATTTTAAAAAATCATATGCTCAAAAATGTACAAATATACTGACTGAGTACGTGTATAAGTAGAGTCGCGTCCCCAGAAGCGACTCGCACGTTCCTTCTCGTTTAATATTTAAACGCTTTCTCATTGACTGAAAGATGATCAGTTGCATCAGTGACATATAAACAACAATAACAAAGTTTCAGCTTTGTTGTGTGTTCGCAGTAATTTCTGTAATTTGTGCGCGCCAATTTTACGTGCTGCTGCTGCTGCTTATTGATACAAGAAAAGGTTTGAGTTCTAAAAGATATATTGTCTAGAAAACGTATTTAGTAGCACATTTGATAGCCCATTATGGCTAAGGCCGATAAAAAGAGTACAGATTAGTGGAAAAAGGTGTAGCCTTTCCCACTGCCAAAAATCTAGGCGTGATTTTCCAGACCTTAAGTTGTTTTCCAAAAAAAATATTTAACATATAAAAATTGTCTGATGAAAGACAAATGCGAATAAAGATGCTAAAAAAAGAAAACTCGAATTTGAAACGAAAAATAATTAGATTGGAATCTAAATGCAATAAAAATGTAGTCTCTGCAGTTGACAAAATAAATCTAACTGGAAATGAAAAAATATTGACGAAAATGCTTCTGAAAGAAAAAAGGGAACAAATATAAGATGGAATGATTCCGAAAAATTGTTCGCTCAGAGCATTTATTACAGGTCTACCTCAACATATAATATTTTAAGAGATTCATTCAAATTAAATCTAGTCCATCATCTCAAAAGTGGAACAGAATAAAAAAATTACAGCCAGGAGACAACGAATTTTTGTACTCAGCACTTAAAGATGCGATAAAGGGAATGACTGAATGTGAAAAAGAATACATAATAACTTGTGATGAAGTTGCAATAAAAAAAATTTAACATACAATACCGCTGTTGACATAATTGATGGCTTAGAACATTTACTCGAACGTTCTAATAAAATGGGAAGTCACATTTGCGTATTTGTTATTCGGGGTATTTTCAAAAAATGGAAATTTATTTTAAACTATTTCGTGCCCGAAACGAACATAAAAGGAGAATGCTTAAAAAGCCTCATCTAAAAACATTAATATTGGGTTCAAAGTAAGGGGCGTAGTATATGATCAAGGAGGGAATAATAAAAAAAATGTACCTAATTACTTCAAGCCACTAAAGAAAAACCTTATTTTAACTTTAACAATAAAAAGTATTATATGTTTTATGACATTCCGCATCTTTTCAAATCTATAAGGAATAATTTCCTGAAAACCAAGTTTGAAACCCCTGACGGACTAGTTGCTTTTGATGTCATACGAGAGGTTCACGAATTAGAACAGGGATCAGTAACGAGAATGACTAAATTAACAAAAAGTCACGTTAATCCAACTAGATTTGAGCTAGCGGGTAGTTGGCCACCCCGCCCGGGGCCCCCGAGCCCCGACGGGTCCGCGATTCAATTATATACACTGGCGCCGGACGGGGGTTGACCAATAGGATGTTTGGTGCAATGATGTACCCATTGAATTAACATCGAGTAGAAATTTTGTTGGATACATTGCAAGGGGATCCAATTGCAGATCATGCCTCATAAAAGAAAGCGAGCATTTAACAGCTCCATCAGAGCTTTTTATATGTGAGAAAAACTACTCGAGCGACTCGGACTTTGGAAAATTAAGTGCACCATCTGATCTATTTTTTAATGTATGTAAAATACACATAAAGGTTTTTGAAAATATTTTTAAAAATAATAAAAAGCAACTTGGTATTAGGAAATTTATTGTGGAGCAATGCATTAAGTGCACTAACTAAAGTACTCATTATGTTATATGCATAAAATAGATATTTTAAACAAACTTATTAAAGTTTTACTTTTTAAGCACTGCAAATGGACTGTGATAGCTGATAGACAAGAGAAGCAAGCTAAACTCAGCATTCTATCTCATAAGTGACGACTGAAAGCAAATATATACACAAGTATATGCATAATACAAACCATTGATGCAATGGAAAAAAATAACGAAAAACTATAGTTAGAAAACTAGCTTAGTTGGGGAGCATGGAAATGTTTTAATGTAAAAAATTAAAGCATTTCAAGTCGACTCGAAGGTCATATGAATATATGACCCCATTACAATTGTAATGGCCTCCTCGTGGTGTTCCCTGGGTACCGACACTAACCATACAGTATATAGATGTGCCATACAGAGGGGGGGGGGGCGGGCGGGGGGGGGGGGGGGGGAGGGGGGGGGGGGGGGGGGGGGGGGGGGGGGGGGGGGCGGGGGGGGGGGCCCCTCGGGGGGGGGGGGGGGGGGGGGGGGGGGGGGGGGGGGGGGGGGGGGGGGGGGGGGGGGGGGGGGCTGAATTCAGTGGCGATTTCATATGGGGGGGGGGGGGGGGGCGGCTCAGCAGCAACTAATAGAGCTAGAATATTTTACTGGATAATTTTAAAATAAATATATAAAATAGTTAATAAATACATATGCATGTACATACATAAATTAAGCTATGTTAATATTAATTTATTATCAATCCTGTTCAATCGTAAAAGTGGTTCCCCCCACCCCCCTAACCAAGCCTTTTCAACGCCGGTAAATAATTTCGTCACTCAACTCATTAAAAGGTTTTCGTCTCGAAAATCGACCGCTTCGCACAAGTACGCACACATACGCACTTGCTGGTTCTGTGTGTACTCACACATGCAAGCGGATTCTATTTTTAGATTCGTACACTCTCAAATTTGAGCGAGCGAGATGGTGTGAATTTCGTCGCATGACGAAAAATTGGCTTGCATATGGCAATTGAAATGTATGAGCGTTTCCCATCTTATACTTATATTGTCTTTGGTTATAGCCTTTTTACACTGGGCGCATCATTGGATTTTTCCGTTATGATGCCCATAAGAGCTAGCCTTTGCCTCTGCACTCAGATTCGTCAATGCCTCGGCCCGCTTTGAGTCCAGCTAACAAAATATGAAGTCTGACGGGAATAGGTCCAGGGTCGGATTAGCAGTTTCCTAGGGCTAACAGAAAAATTTGTTGAAAAAAAAAACTACAAATAATGAATAAAATATATATAGTAGCCACTGATAAACATACAAATTAATCAAACAAACATTAAATTTATAAGTTTTTATTTCAAATGAAAAATTAACGGAGCTGGCGTGAAAAAAGGGAGCGCCCCCAGATTGATGGTTGCCCAGGGCCGGTTGAGGGTTGATCCGGCCCTGAATAGGTCGAGTTTGGTTTTTAAGTTGTTATTTGTTTGTATTGTGTGTATTTACAGTGGGGCCTCAGCCGAAAAGAGGTGGCAAAATTAAAAAATATT